GCCGTGATCATGGGTGATCGGAATCGGCAGGAAAAAACCTGATCGGCACATCTCTAATAAGAAAAATATTATTTTCTTATTAGCTGGTTATAATCACGTTTTCCGTTGACTGAGGAATTGAGAAGCAAAAATGAGTCAAAGTCTAATTTCCACTACAACAACACAGATAAGGATAATAAGGCCGTAAAGCAGGCTTTGCAAATGTTACCAAACAGCCTTTGTTGTAAATCTGTGACCTGGAGCGAACCTCCGCTGGTTCGGCTCAGTGGGGAGTGGGTGAGGTAGAGCCACAGAAGTAGGCGGCGTTGGCCCTCGGTAGCGAAAATATATTAAAAGAAATGTCCAGTGATCCCGGATAAACCTCCATTTCCAGAGGAATGTCTGACAAATGAATCAGACAGCAGAGACAAGAAGGCAGGTAGGGGATAAGTCTCATGCGGAGAAACAAACAGGGATGAACCAGGAGAAGCAGACGTATTTAAACAGGGACCGGCATCTGATCCTTCTTATAAACAGAGTCTTTAGATAAAGAAGATCCACTTGAAAATATTACGAGAACATTTTAGCTTATAAAGAGGAATAGATTTGTCAATAGCAAATAATCTCTAAATCTTTTTTTTTTTTTTTCCTTTTTGTGAAATTCCATGCCAGACTCGTAGGCATCCTGCAAATTCTTTCACCACACGAACAGCTATGGAAAAAAGAAAAACAACAGGCGCCTTGACGTCAGAGATTTAAACAAGACAAGGTCCACCTCTCACTCCCTATGGAGTCTCTAATAATCAGCGCTTAATATGGAGCCCCTGACTCCAATTTTATGGATTTAACAGTCTGGGGTTGTTTCTTCCCCACTCTCCCCCCTCTACACACACACTGTTCAACTAAAAAGTTATTAAAACTGTTAGCTTTGTGCATCATGTATTTCCAGCACCAAATATTCAGAAGAATAAAATGCCAAACAGAGAGGATGTTAGGGAAAAAAAAACATTTTGTTTCTGTACCTCAGAGTTGCTGGATGTGCAGGAACTGGCTCTTTTTGGACACAGTTTGGGTCTGGAAAACAAACAAATAACCATAATCAGTTCAAGTACTAATTAAAGACAGATCTGTGAGAGAGAGCTTTTTTTTTTTTTAAATGAAACTGCTGCTATATGAAAACCATTCTGATGTTCGCAGTTTGACCAGAAATGTAAAAATGGACACAGTCCCATGTAGCTGTGCTGAAATAGGAGCTTTCTGGCAATATAATTACCTCCATTAACTTTTAGTATAATAACTCCCGCATACCTGTGGCGATCTGACTCAGTATTTGTTCTGTTGTGGCCCTGAATAACGAAGCAAGTTGCACCGCAAAAACTTGACTTCTCACAAACGCTCTAGTCGTCTCCAACCGTTCCTGTAATGGCTGCTGCTGAGCTGTCGTTGCATTTTTTCACTGGTAGGAATTTAAAACTTTGTGATGTGTGATAACAAGCTCTAACCGGTCTCTCCATTTTAATTACCATTAAAGGAGGATCGGCATTATTCCTACATTCGCCTTGCCTTAAACCCCTTTTTTTTTTTTTTTTTTTACGTTACAACCACAAGCTTAAATGTGTTTACAGGGATTTTGTGTGATAGACCAACACTAAGTAGTGTATAATTGGAAAGTAGAAGGAAAACGGTATTTTTTTTTCTTGTAGTCTGTGTTTGTAATCAAACCCCTGAGTCAGTAATTTGCACATTTAGAGACTGAATTCTTCCAGTTATTCTCAGCTAAACAGAATAAGCTTCATCAAACTAGACTGACAGAGTTCATAAACATCATGATTGCCACATTTTCCCTAGACTTGAACGGACTACTCCAGTAAAGGAATACTAACATTTCACTGCAACCGACTAGGAATATGAACAGTTAATGAACTTCTGACTAATTGTTGATTAGATTAAAATTAGTTCCAATCGATTGACTCAAAACATCCGCTTGGACCTTCATTCAGTGTTGCAGTTTCCCCGTCGTCCAGCAGAGGGCGCCTCCGCTGATCCAGAAGCCAAGTCAGTTGATACAGAAACAAAGATGGCGGCCTTAGCCCAGAACGGTGAAGAGAAATGGTCTGAACAGAGTTCAGTGTTGAATGAGAAAGGTGACTTAGGCGGTTCTGTTCTGAAATATAAAAACTCAACAAGCTGCTTAAGTTTCACCTTAATAGAGCTCATTCAAAAATTACTTAATTGTCACAAAGTATCTAATAATTTTCTGTTTATTTAGTCAGTGTTTAATACTGCTGACACAAAATAATATAATAATAATGTAGTGTAATAATAATTTAGCCCTTCGTGTTATGGAAAGACGGTCGGCCCTTTTGACACAAGAGAAAAACTGTTTTTTTTTTTTTTTAAATGGCCACTTATTAATTGCTAGTCTATTGATGAGATCAATCAACTTTAGATTAACTCAATAATTGATAACTTGCATTCCTACAAACAAACGTAGGCTGTAAAATGAACTCCTGTCCAGGTTGAAGTTCAGTGACAGGTCTTAAGGCATTTTTCCGTATTTAACTTCTTCAATTTTCCCATAATCTGCCCTCCCTTTCGCCCGCACAGCGTTTTTCATGCAGGCCAAAAAGTTCCATTTTGAATTTATCTAACCAGAACACATTCTCCCCTGTTTGCGTTGTCCCCCACATGGATAGTGGCAAACTTCAAACAAGACTTCTTATGACCTTCCTTCCACATTCGCCTTCTTGTTGTCACAAAAGGGCAGATATATGGAGTGCAAGGCTAATAGTTGTCCTGCCAACTTAAACTGTGGATCTTAGCAGCTGCTCTAGATTCACCGTAGGGCCTCTCGTGTGCTGTAGTGATTAATGCTCTCCATGTCCAGCCCTGTCAGATTAGGCGGTCCATCGTTTCTCAGGTCGCTTTCAGTTGTACCGTTCTTTTTCCACTTGGATTGAACAGAGCTCAGGGAAATGTTCAAATTGTATTTCGTAGCCTAATCATGCAATAAGCCTCTCCATAACTTTCACCTCGACCTGCCTGCTTGGCCTTCATGTCCACCACTAGCCTCGAACCTCTGACGTCTTTACATAGTAGCCGGGTTTATGCTGAGATTAAATTACACATATGTGGAGTCTACCCACTAATGTGCCGGCAACTGATAGTGCTTGAATGAGCCGGGTTTTATTTAGGGGTATCAGAGTAAACTAGGTTGACTTTTCAGAAGTATTTATACATTTTTTTTTTATGTTGAAGAACCCAGGATTCTTTCCTTCTTCTTCACAATCACGCACCACGTTGTGTTCTGTCATATCAAAATGTCAATAAAATACATTGATGGTTGTTGAAAAATGTGAAAAACTTCAAGGGGAGGTAATATATTTTTGAATATTGCTCCCTCCACACACACGGCTATTGTTATTAATATTCTTAAAAGATGGAGTTTGTCGTCAGTCTTTTCTGGAGTATTTGTCTAACTTTCCTCCCCGTTTTGAGATTTATTTGGCCCAGTGAAGTATGAAATACGCTGGCATGTAGGCTCTTATTAAAAGTGAATATCACAGCTGAGTGAGTTCATTACCTGTCACCAGTAAACGGAGAGCAACCCCTGTGGATACCCTCATCCACCTCTGGCTGTTTCCTAACGATTTTCACCTTTGAAGGTGAACTCAGTGCTACTTAAAACCTGCATGATTGTGCCTGACTAGCCTGGCTTGGTGCCAGCTGTTTCAGTGAACTCATATAAATTAATAGGGAACATCAGGGGGGAAAAAAACAAAGCAAAACAAAAAAAAAAACAACAACAAAAAAAACAGCTACCGAGCTTTTGCGTTTGGAGTTGCGTATTAAAGCGTGTTTGTGCGTCTGCGTTTGTGGTGTTGTTGTTGTTGTTGCTATATACACTTTCCTTTTTATGGAACACATGTTTCTAATTTTACTGGCCTTATAAAGTGAGAGCCTGCAGAGTTATTGTGCTTGCGAAGGGACCGATGTACCAAGCTGCTCAAATTCTTTCAGAAAGTTGAGGATTATTACAGGCACAAATGTAAACCCTTCCAGACGTTCAGACAGGGAGGGGGTAAAACAATCAGCTCGTCAGAACGGATAGTATTACGCTTGCTTAAGATTAGCGGCACTTATTTGAGGCTGGGAACAAATGTAATTTACACCTTTTTAACAGCCTGTGAATGGTACTGCTACCAAACTCACATTGGGCTCTGCCTCTCCCGGTTGTCCCCAGTCGCTCAGTTTCCCGCCCTTTGCTTTCATCTTGCCTTTCAGGTTTTGTGGTGCTGGAATTGATGCCAGGTGCTGCACCTTGAATGCCCTCTCGGTGTTTGGTGAGAAACGCCGACATCAAGGAAGACGCGCCGCCACAGCCGAAGCCAGCTAATCACCAAAGGTCACCACATCAGGCACCGAGGCGCCCAGCTGAGACAACATTACAGGGATGTGACGACGCAGGCCAGCGCTTGTGCATTTTCTGTCGAGCTGCGCAGCGGCAGGAGATGCAGGAGTTCAGATCTGGGGAGTTCACGGTTGCTAATGCTAGTGTTGCTAATCACTGACAAAAGATGCTGAAGCTAACTCAAAATCACTTTTGCCTTTGTTTTTGTAAAACCCTCCTTTACAGAAGCTGCTCTCTCACATAGGACATCGCTCCTTCTCAAAATATAATTAATTAACATAAAAATAAATATTTTGGTTTTTTATTGTTGTTTAAGACTTATAGAGAGAAATCGGAAGTAAAATTCTGATCAATGTATGCATCATTTCTGTCTTTCCAAATTAATTATGTCTTTTATAAAACAGCCATTATTCATTATTTCATTATTTCACATTAAGTTAATACAGAGGCTCCAGTTGCCAATGTTTAATGAAAACTGCAAGAAATTTTTAGAAGGTGAATTTCTGCACCTTCCGGTGTCAAACTCAAATCACCGACTGTATTAAGATCAATTAACCGTTCCATTAAGCCTTTTTCTAGGCACCATTCCACTTGTTTAAATTGTTTGGTTGCTTCTGTTACCTGAAAATGATGCAGAGTACAGTCGTGAGTATCAGAGCAAAGAAAGCGGCTCCGCTCACAGCGGCAAGAAGGGAGTCCACCCTGCCGCCTGACGGGGACGTGGTTCGTTGGTCCCCTTCCGGCTCGGTCAGGTTGTGGTAGTGGAACAGAAGCGCGAATCCACGTCCCCAGTGGGTGGTGGTGATCAGCTCCATGATGACCTCCACCATCTCTTGGCTTGAGCCAAAAACCAGCTGGCTGCTGGGAGGGCGGTTGGACCCGCAGAACCTAGAAGAAAAGGTGATGAGGTCTGAGATGTAGAGGACGTCGTGGGGGCAGGCGTCAAGGATGGACTGCTGAGTTTCAGGGCTCACAGGAGGAGTTCCTGTGGAGGGCGGTGAGCCATAGGTGGTCTCCTCCATAACCCCGCTTGGGTTCAAAGTGGGACTGAGATTTTCATTTGAGGGAGAGGCAGAGACGGAGTTGTTGACCTTGTCTGCAGGTGGCGCAGCACCAGGTAGGAGAAGGAGGGAAGAAGGGGGCAATGAAGACTGACTAGAGGACAGGTCTGCAGATCTTTTGGCAGAGTTTGAAACTTTGGCAATCTCCATTTTTGAAGACTGTTCCTGGACCACGACTTGATTAGGAATGCCTTTTCGGGAAGTCTTTAAAAGATCCCCTGCGCTCTGAGGCGCTGGTTTTGCGGCTGCCGACAAGCTCCCGTCAGCAGATGAGCCAGTAGGGGTGACCTTCCCTTTTTCCTCTGCTGCTGCCTCTTCGTCTTCTTCAAAATTAGAGAAAGCAGAGTACTGAGCTTCGGAATCGTGGCTTTCAAACACGTCAAAGTCAAATATCTCCAGAACAAGCTGGTAATCAACTGGAACAACAAACTGCCAAACACAGTGAGTCCCTGAGGAGTAGTTGTAGGGGAAGCCAGGAGACAAAATGAGGCCCTGAACGTCCACCACATCCACCTTGGCACCGCAGTCGAAATACACCTGAAAAACATAATAAATACAAGTCATTCTGCTTTCTTCCAGCATTAAGAAGATCACATTTTCACTCAAGCCTGCAGTAAATCTTCCCAAAAATATATCCATGTCAGCATCATTGTCAGCATCATTGTTAAAAATGAGCAAAGCAAGTTTAGAGACACTGACTGTAGAAGTACTAAAGAAATTCACAGGACAATGAAACTGATAAGACAACCCAGTGTGTTGAACATTGAACAAAGTGGCAGTAACCCTTCTAGGGGTAGCTGCCACGGAGACCTGGTCTCAGTTGTATTTTTAATCTCATTGGAGTTTCAAGAGTTAAAACATCACTGAAAGCCTGAGCATATTCCCACAACAGCTGAGAAATTGGTTTGTTTAGTCAAAGTGGCAAGAACAGAAAATGTTTGTTCTGGTCAGCACATTTTGCACTTTCTGAGAATCTCAAGTGCAGCGCTCCAAGGAAATCTTCATGGCTCCCTTCATAGGCCCTTTTTCTGGCTGTGCACACAACAGCTGTCGGGACGCCACATGAGAAAAGAGCTTGTCCATATCCTATCCCAAGAACTTCCAGACCAGAGCCGCTAAACAATCATGTCATTCTTGTCCTACGACTTTGGGTTTCTCAGTTCTTGCAGAGTAGATACAGGACTTTAGGTACTCAAGTCACCGACATAAAGGCTATTATAACAGTCCAACCACAAGAAAAGACAGATGACTTTTTCAAGAGCACTAAATAAATGCAGCATTAATCTTTGCAATTACGCATAACTGAAAAAAGCGGGTTTTAAAGACAGAATCGAGAGTCCAAAATCCTGTCAAGGTTTCCAGGCACGCATAACCACTCAAAGGGTCAAGTTCAATTTATATTATTAATTATAAGTTTAAAAAAATAGGACTTCTACTTTGTCTTCACTTAATTTCGATTTAGTTTTATCTATTCTTAGAAATGTAGGAAATGTTTCAAAATGGCTTTCAAAGGTGTTTTAGCATTATGCTTCATTCATAAATATACATATTTGTCATCTGCGTAGCGATGAAACAAAATGTGACGGGGCATTTAAAAAAAAAAATACTAATTCAATTAAAAAAATTAGATAAAAAAAAAAAGAACAGGTGCAAGTACGGATCCCTGAGGTCCACCAAACGAGAGAGGAGTTTCTGAAGAGTGAGTGTCTTCTTGTGTGGCTGCAAAACTTCCGTCAATCCATTAAGACTTAAACCACTGCAATGTTACTCCTTTAATCCACGGATAAGGAATAATGCTATGGCCTACCTCATCAAGAGCTGACGTCTCAATGTACCAAGGTGCTAGGAGTCCATGAAGTAGTAAAAGATAATTTATCACTTTTAAAAGTGTCATTTCTGCATTGACCAGACTAAAAACTGATCTACAAACTGCAAGTGCAAAAGAAAGATAACTTCCCCCGCCAACATGGAAATGAAAGAAAATTTAGAAATTGGTATGAAATTAAATTACACTGACTGGATTAAGATTGTGTATTTTCAGGAAAGGATTCAGTAAAATATTCTTAAAATCAGCCACAACAGTATCATGCCCATACTGAAGACTAATAATAAACAGATAAAACATTCATTCCATTATCTGAAATACATAAATTAATGTAATTAATGTATATGTATAATGTAATAATTGGCTGCACAGTGGAGCAGTTGGTAGAGCTGTTGCCTTGCAGCAAGAAGGCTCTGAGTTCGATTCCTGGCCCCGGTCTTTCTGCATGGAGTTTGCATGTTCTCCCTGTGCATGCGTGGGTTTTCTCCGGGTACTCCGGTTTCCTCCCACAGTCCAAAAACATGACTCTCTAAATTGCCCCTAGGTGTGAGTGTGTGTATGCATGGTTGTTTGTCTCTGTGTTGCCCTGCGACAGACTGGCGACCTGTCCAGGTTGACCCCGCCTCTCGCCCGGAACGTTAGCTGGAGATAGGCACCAGCAACACTCCCGACCCCACTGAGGGACAAGGGTGTAAAGAAAATGGATGGATGGACATAAATTAATACGTGAAATGGAACGGTGTTAAAGCCAAGTAGGAAAAGCACATACTCCCAAATCGATGTGAAACGATGTTTTTTTTTTTGTTGCCTTTTAAAAATTAAAACGAGATTCTTATATCTCCTATTATTGCTGCCCTACAATACAAGTACAACAGTTAAATGATGTGACTTTGTATACTCGCGATCTTGAAATTCAGTCTAATGGCGATCAATGACATTGATCTGATTTAATATAATTAGGCCAAAGGTAAATATACATGAAAGCCGTAGTCTTGATTTGCTCACTCACATGAACCATCTAGGAGTTGAACTATTCAACTCTGCCTGTGTAGCAAAGGCCTGTGTACTGCCTGTGTGGCTGGCTTTGGTGACCTTTGGGGGCATTCCTTCAAACCCCACTGGCTGTAATTCTTCCCAGGTGTATGGAGATTTAAAAGGGACCCTGGCCCCAAGCATAGGCAGATGTTTATTGGTCCGGGGAGTTGAAAACCAAACCTTTGTAGGGGAGCTGTGCGTTTATGAGGCTTTCTGTTCACCTCGGTTCTTAACTGTGGGAAAGCCCCAGACGAGGAGACCCCCCTCCGTTGCCAGACAGGTAACAAACTCAACACCCTGCAGCAACACTTGCGTTCGAGACAGGAAGAAAAGTAGACGAGGCTGCTCCATGTTGCTCCTAAATTGAAGTTTGGAAGGTTGTTCCCCCACCCACCCCCAACATACATCCCGCTAATAGGCAGATGGAGAAATAGGCTAGCTTGTTGATGAGAGTTATCGGGGAAATTAACTTTTTTGTTCTGCTCCTGCCTCATTGTTTGTGAATTATAAACTAATAATTATGCACAAAATTCCATCAGAACACAACTAGGAGCTACTCAACAAATTAACTTCATTATCTGATCGCTTGTTAGCACATTTATAAAAGCATATCTTTGACCAAGAGTATTGTCTTAATACACTTGCATGTGTATTAAGACCATGCCAAACAGGAATATCATCAGGAATAATATTAGAGAAGTCAAAATTGTGTATCCAGATATCTGAGTGGTCATTGCCAAACTTTCATCAAAATGAAAAAAAGTTCATCATATTTCAGCTAAAAAGATTTTTTTTTAATTAAGTCCGACCTTGTAAAGAAATACGTGAAAACACTTCATGGCCTCCGATAGCATGTTTACAACAGTACAGTGAGAATGACATGTGTGGGCTGTTCAACAGGGTTTCAGGCTGTTTATCTCTTACAGAAAGATGAGGCAGCTTGCTGAAACACATTTAACAAAGAAAAAAAAAACTTCCACAAAACTGACAAGTTGTGAAAGTGAGTTTATTGATATAATTTCTGAACAATTTCATGAGGTGCTTTAAAAATCTAGGACGTATTTACGCTCGATGAACTGTTGCCAGTTTTGTCATCTTACAAGCACGTACTTAAACGTAACCTGCTGGGATTAAGCAGTACGTAATAGCAAAGTGAAAGGAAAATGACAGATGATTTTCTACATGGCTTACAAAAACGTGGTGTGAAGCTCTGTTTTAGACCTCCAAGGTCAATACTTTCCAAATCCACCTCTCACTGCACCTGCTGCTGTTGGTCTTTGAACATCCGTGGGCTATTCAAACACTGGCCGCTTTTGCTGCCTTTCAAAAACAGAGCTTTACCTTCCACTCTGCCTTAAGAGTCAAAATTATCAAATGGAAAGTCATCCCGTCAACAGCTTTTCCCACCTGAGCTGTGGATCTCTGCAGCTCCCTTGGAGTAACCAGGGACCTCTTGGCTGATTAATGTACTCCAATCCAAGCCTTTCACTTTAGGTGGACAGCAATGTCTTCATAGCTTTTCAATCGTGCTATGCTCTCTTCATTTTCGGATGACGAAGTAAGCCAATACGTGAGATATTGATTTATAACCCGAATTTAAAACTTCTTCGTAACTTCATCTGTGATTGGCCTGCTGTGATCCTTGGTCTTTGTGATGCCATTTGTTTAGGAGTGTTCTTCAAATGCAGTTAGATTGTCTTATCGAAAGCACACCATGCTGCAAGTTGATCCCAAAGTGTTTTATTCACAAACCTCGACCTTACAGCACAAGTATCTGCTCTGCTTCAGAGTGAGAACGCAGCTGGAGGTACAGCAAGCTGCTAGTCGAATCTTTGTGCAAAATTATTGTGTGCTGAACTACAGCCTCTGACCAACTTATGCATAATATAAGTGCAGACATTACAGGCTGCGATGCGGATCTTGGTGAAGGCATATCAGACATATTTGTTAGCTCCAACTGACTTTCCAAGAGTTGCAATGGGAAAGTGTGTGGCTGACCAGCTATGCAGCAATTTAACCAGCTTACTTCCCTTGCATATTTTGCTAATTGCATTTACAAACAGACGTACCGTTGTCGTAAACGACACCAACGTCTCTGGCACGAGTCGTATTAAAACTGGTGAAATGAAACGTTTGCTGACTTTGAAAAGGAAGCACGCGCATTGATGTCAAGTTAGCCGTTGCTGCTACTCCTTTGGAATGAACAGCAATGTAATTACATTAGCTCTTGGCATGCTTCGCTTGCCCTGCCAGAGCACCGGAAATTACATGGAACGAATGCTGTTCATGCTGAAGTTAGGGAGTGTAAGCTGATTTAGGTGTTTGCAGGAGAATTGAGCAATGAGGGAAACCTCTTTGAATTATTATGGTGGAAAGGAAGGACAAAGTGCTGCTTTTTGGATTAACCCCCCCCCCCAAAAACAACAAAAAACAAATGGGCAGCTTTTGTCAACCAAAATAAAATAGGAGATTGTCAACCAGACAAGAAGAGGCAGCAAATATCGCCCAGCCTAGAGTGGGTAGTGGTGAAAAGACAGCTGTGTCAGTGATGAGACCATCTTATTTCTCCCTGGCTGGGAGGTCCACTGCTCACTGGGACGTACATGGTAGACTACACATGAAAGGACTCTGAAGTGCCACAGTGGCGAGTGGAAATGGGGCATTCTTATAATGCCAA